GAGGGGCCGGGAGGGGGGGCCGGGCCTGGGGACGCCCCCCAGCCGAGCCTCCCCAGTGCCAGGGCCCGGCGCAGCCTGTCTTCAGGGCTGCTGGGAGGGAGGCTCTTTCCGCCAGAGCTGTGGGCCTGGCGATGGGGTTTAAAATTAGCTGTTTCTGCGTTAAGTTCACATCTCGCTGTACACAGAGCCCTTTTACTTTACACACGTTGAGAACTGCTGCGCAAAGGCAAGGAGCAGACGTTTCCCAGGGAAAAAGCCAACCTGCTGCCTCGCTGTGAGTGTGAGTTTTGAGCTGGGTGAGACTAACGACCGATCATAAGAGTCCTCAAAGTCGTCAGGGTCGGAAGGGACCTCTGCAGATCATCTAGTGCCTCAGAGCAGGACGGCCCCCGTCAGACCTGCACAGCAGAGAAGGCAGCAGCTCAGCATCCCCTTCTGGCGGGGACAGCCCGGGGAGCGAATCCCCAGGGCACCGGGCACCTTCCAGCCCCGCGTTAACCAAGGCGGCTCACATCTGTCGCCTGTTTGTTTTCTGCTCCTGTCCCCAGAGGGAGAAGCGAGTGGGCGGGCGGGATGGAGCCGTGACAGCTGGGCTGTGCAACGGCAAAGCCGCTGCTCCCCCGCAGCACCGAGCTGCCCTGGGCAGCACCGATGGAAAACCCTCAGCCCTCCCTCACTGGAGGGTTTGCATTTTGATTTTTATTTAAAAAAAAAAAACACCCCAGTGACATGTAGGCATGAGCACATGCACACAGCAATGTAATATATACCCGCACACACGGCGCATTATGCGTGAGGAGCATCAATTTAGGCAGACAGATTGCTCTTGGTTTATGCTAACGGGGGTCAGAGGATGGCTAACCCCGAGAGCAGAAGGTGGTGGTGTTTGTAATGGCCTTTTGTTCTCAGAGGAGATCATTCTCCAGGCTGGGCCCCAGGAAAGGCTGGTCCCCCAGCACAGATGAAGGCTGCCGGGGTTACGTGATGGCAGAGACATGAAGCTGTTGACCATGGTCTTCATCCAAAAATTCCAGCTGGATGCTCAGTATCTCCCAATCCGGAGGTTTTTTTGGGTATCTCATTGATATGGCCCAGGATGTTGAACTCATTGTACAGGAAACTGGCTGAGGAAAGAATCTAAGACAAAAATCTTACTTCCATACACTTCAGAAATGACTGGAACACTCTGTATATAGAGGATCTGGTAATCTGGACTCCAGATCAGTGTTTGCAGTTATGGTTTAAATGAGCTATTTTTCTTGCTTTCAGAAATCATTTATGAGGCCAAATAATAGAACTGGCACCTAAAAGAACCTCTATTCCCAAGTTATAGAAGTACAACAAAATAATACAGATTTAGTGCTAGTACTTTCCCCGAAAGAGCCAAAATAAATTAAAAAGAAAGAGAACAGTAATCATAAATACCAAATTGGCTCATTCAAGGATTCCAAGCTGGTTACTGTTAACAATTGCCCTGGAAATACAGTCAGTGAGCACATGAGATACAGGGGACGTTTTTATGGGCATTGTGTGCTCAGGAAGAGGAGCAAGTCCTATCTCCATGCCGGGTGCCCCAATCAAAAGCATCACAAATTCTCCAGCATATGCTTGGGGATGTGGAAGGAAAGCAGATCACCTCCTCCAGAAAGAGTCGTGCTGAGATTATTCTTTCTGAAGTGCTGTAAACATCGATGGTGTTTGATAAACAGGCACATAAAGCAAAACCGGATAAAGACAAGGCTCCTGCCCTCAGTGTGTGCCCTGGCTTGGTCTCCTGTAACACACCAACTTACCATTCAACCCTCAGGTTGTGCCACTGTGCTTTATTTAAGATAAACCTCTCTTTTTTATACCCGATTTCCCGGGTATACTGGCAGGACCAGCCATCCCCAGGAAGCTGTGGTGCTCACCCCAGTTCCAAGGCTGCTTTGGCTGCCCCAGCATTTCCCCTCCCGCAAACTCAACTGCCCCAAACAAAAGAACAGGTTGGAAATCCAGCCTGGAAACAAAGAGTTTAATTCATTTTGTCTCAATCCTGGCTTGCTGCTTTTATTTTTGTTCCTTTATTTTTCCTGCTTTTTTCCTCCCCCCTTGAGCAGAGAAAGGGGAGAGAAAACGACGGAGGCACCTCCATCCCTCCTCACAGGGTTTATCCTGGAGGAAGCAGTTTATAGGTCGCCATCACGTTTTACAGGGAAACGTAGTTTATACACTGATAAATTCAGAGAGCCCCGAGCTGACGATTCAATTATTTTTCAATAAAACATCAGGGGAATGAGCAAACAGCTGCTCGCATCCTTCCCCACCGCAAGCCAAACTTCAAGGGGAACAATAGGTGGGGAAAAGAGGAGCCATCGCGGAGGCGGTGACAATGGGTTTCCTTACCCGGGGCTTTGTTTGATTTCCCCGTCTCAGTTTTGAACTCCCTCCGTCGGAGAAAGGCGAGGGGGTCGGACGGGGAGAGGGGGAAGCAGGCAGAGGGGAAGGAGGGTCAGGGGGAGTTAAAGCCTTTTGCAGCCTTTCTCTCCCATTCATGTGGTAATTGGGTGTCAAGCAGAGATCAGTAAGACGGAGCCCGGCCTCTGCGCCCGGGTTAAACTGCAGCAGAAAGAAAGCGGGAGCTGAACCGATGGAGGGCTGAATGCGGTGGGGGCGGGAGGAGGCGGCTCCCCCCGGAGCCCCGGAGCCGGGGTGCGGGGCTGGGGGCCCCGCTTCCCTCGCAGGGCAGCCCTGAGAGCGGCCAGACAAAGCGGGAGGGCCGGGACAAAGCCGCACCCCCGGCTCTGCCTTCAATAGCCGGCTCTAAACAGGCGTTTAACCTCCCCAGAAGAGCTGAAAGTGATACTCCCGGCTGCGGAGGCGGGCGGGCCGGCCCCGCTGGCCCCTGCGGGCCGGGGGCGAGGAGGGGTGGTTCTCGCACACCCTGGCTTGCTCAGCCCTGCTGGCACAGCCCTGGGGCGCACAGGGCTCCGTGTGACTCCCGGGAGGTGTCACCTCCAGGGCAGGACCAGGTCCCGACTCTTCCTTAGGCTGGCGAGATGCTGGTGGTCCCTGCAGGGCCGGGAGAGAGGAAGGCAGGACCACACAGAGGAGGGGGATGAGGCACAGAGAGGGTTGTATCCCTCTCCACCATCAGATGATCTCCACTGGGATCATTTGATGAGGAATCGGGAAATCTGGAGACCAACCCACCTCTGGAACAGGGGGATGTGCTGGCCTTGGACAGAGCCACCATCTCCTGGGATTCCCAGGGTTGCCAGCCTGTACTGTATGACCCCAACTTCCCAAAGCTCTCCCAGAGCCTGGTGTGGCATCATTTGTGCCTATGGGTGGGATTTTTAATTAACCAAGAGAAAAGAGGGTCAACCCCCAGTTGATTGTGGAAGGTGGGATTTGCAATGGGCCAGGCTCAAAAAGAGCAGAGCAAGACACATCCCTTGCTCCCCAGCCACCCCATGCTGTGCAGGAGCTGAGCAGCAAACAGCCCTAAAGACATTTGCTTCCATCGTGGAGCCTTTTTGCTTTAAAGAGGAAACCTGCCAGCCCTTCCCTGCCACACATAGGAGGATGAGACACAGGCACTTTCCATAAACCATCATTTTGGTGGAATTCCCTGCAACACAGCCCCTTCAAACTGGAGAGGAGAGAAACCACCCCCAGCCCTGCTCCTGCCTATGCTGGAACCACTCAGGGGAATCACATATTTCCATTTCTAAAGAGTGCACCAAAGGACAGGCCCTTCTTTAGTCCAGAATATTTCTCTCTTGCTGCTTAAAGGCAAAGCCAGCTCACCAGCACGCAGAGGAGCAGGCAGCTGTCATTGTTTGGGAAGACTCCAGCACGCCAAGAGTGGCAGGAGGAGGCTGGAGAGACACAACATTAAAGGTTGTCACAGACCTTCTCAGCAGCAGAAATTAATTTCACCCAGAAAGGTCCTGAGCAGCTTGCAAAGCCCCCACCTGCATTTAGGCTAAAATAAGCTCCAGTTTTGCACACCAAGTTCGGGTTGGCTGAACTGGACTTAGAGCTTGAAAGAGATGCTGATCAGAGAGAAAGCTGCATGATTTTTCTTAATATTATTGTCACTGTCCAGGAGGCAGAGTCTGGGAGAAGCAGCCATCTCCATAAAGTACATTTGGTTTGTAAAGCTCTTTGGCTTTGCTTAAATTAATAGGCTAATAATAATCCAGGAAAGGATTTTAATGTTTTCTTAACCTCATGCAAACAGCTTTTTAAGTACTTTAATTAAAAAAGAATAATACCTCATACTTTACATTTAGCACTTTTATCTACCTACAGCTGTTGAGCCAGACTTTAGCTTATTGATCAAAGGAGAGAGAGAAGTCTTACAAGGTGTCTCTAATCATAGAAAGAGGATTCAGTTAGTCTCTTCTTTAAAATTGCACAAATAAAAATAAATTTAAAAAAAAAAATCAGACTATGATTTTGCTTCTTTCCAAACACCTCTCTGCTGGAAGCACCGATCTGGGGCTCAGTGCTGCACTTGCACTCCTGGGCTGAGAGCTTCTCAGGGGTGTTTGTAGTAAAGCTTCGTCTTTCCAGAGGAGCTACGACTTTAAAAAGGCACCAGGATTTCAACCCAAAGCTGACAGCCAGTGGGAAAGCTCTAATGGGTGTAGCTGGGTTTTGCAGGGAGTTTGGAAGCACAGCCAAGTGTGACCCAACCCTCCTCAGGAAGAACAAACACGGTGAATTGTCCCCAGCCACCAGACCCACTACTTTTAACCCCCTCCCCAACACCACAGAACTGTCAGCACTGCCGGGCAAGGTGGCTCCTTACAGCACAAACCCTCAGGTACCAACACACCTTTGTGGGGCTCCCCCTCTCCCTGGGAAACCAGGCACAGAGGTGTGTGCATACACGCCCCAGACCCCAGCTCTGCACCGCGGTGTGCGGGTCCCCTCCGCCCAAAGTCCGTGTACCTGAGCCCTCCGTGCCCTTTGCTGAGCTGTTTCCCAATCATTCCACACCCCCATTTCCCTGGAACAGGAGCTCTCACCTTCTGGGGGGCTCCATGCCTCTCATCCTGCCCGCACCCTGCGGGTACAACCTTCCTCCTCCTTGCAGCCGCCGGGAACACGGGGCTTGGGAAGAGCTCCCTGCTATGCTCTGGCCAGGGTGGTCGTGTGGGCTAAATCCTGCTCCTTGCACGGGTCTCCCTACAACCACATCAATCTCCAAAACCCTACAGTGCAAGCTGGTCCCCATTCAGATGGGCTAACTTGCAAATCAGTAACAGACATACTTCCATAAGCTTCCAAAGCTATTTGCACCTGCATTTAACAGTGCCTGGAATGCAGAATTCCCTTGGCTTTTTTAACCTAACCTGCTCTCAGACAGATGGAAACCATAGTGCTGAGCCCTGGCCCACAGCCCCTCTTCCTTCAGAGCAGCTCTGTGTGCAGGACAGCATGGCCATCTCTTCCAGGAAGGAAGAGCAGCACTCCTGGTCTCCTCCTGCATCACTTTGAACCATCCGTCTCCAATGACCACCACTACCTGCCTGGGACAACGGGGTGACCTCGCTGCTGCCAAAATCTCTGCCAGCACATGCTCCAGTCAGGAGCCTGAATGGAGGAGCACCAGCACCTGGGATTGCTCCTGGTCTCACACCCAGCACCATCATCTGTACCCAAAACGTCCTCTCCACCCCAGACAGGCTCTGATCTGTCCCCTGCGTGGGTAACCCCCCTGCTCCCAGTGCCCGCACCGCTTCCCAGGGCTTTGAACCCCCCCAGGGGGGGCTGTGAGACCCCGGTGGAGCCCCTAGAGAGGTCTCCCCCGAGGTGAGATATGGGCAGAGCCCAGCCTGCCCTCCACCGGTGGCTGCGGGAGGAACAGCATCCAAAAGCGAGACCGGAGCGGCTGCGGAGGCGGCAGCCACGGCTGCACAGCCCGTGCCAGCCCCCCAGGGCCGGGGACACCCCCAATAACCTCAGTATGACCCCTCGGAGACAAAGCCTTCTCCTTTGAAGGCTGAGCCCTGCGTACCTTGAAGTACCCGTGTTCTCCTGTGCCCTGGGTTGGATGCAGAAGGTCAAAAAGATGCTTCTAGCAGTGAGGGAAGGGGAGTGGGTACCAAAAAACTTGTCTGCAAGGGCAGGAATGAGCTGGGAGGTTAAGCATGGCCAAACTTGGGGTGAAGCAGCATAAAGAAGAAAGAGGGAACAAGAGAGGGGTGGAGGAGCCAGATGTGCCAGGATAAAGAGGAAGAACTGGGCCAGGGACAAATAGGGATGGCAACACTGGGAACAGGATGAGGAGAAAAGGGGAGTGGGGAGTTGGTGGAGGGGTCTGAGGAGGTCTCATCAACAGGTTGTTTCCAGACAAACCAGATCAAACCCAGCAGCAAGCAGCTTGCTTCCCCCTGCTCTGAGATGACCCGTAGTACATACGGGGAGGTCCTGCTAAGGAGCAGCGCTTTCCAGTTCCCACACTGGCACAGTCCCCCCACCTGCTCACATGCAGCAGGACTGCAGAAGGAAGAGGATGGCAACTCCAGCATAGCCCATACTCGTGTTTAATCATGAGGACCAGACAGGCTGGGGCAGGCAGGTACGTTGGTGTGGAAGCACATCTAGAGGAGCAGGCACACCCTGCCCTCACAAAAGACAGACATTGTTTTAAGGAGAAACCCTGCTAAAAGCATAAAAACAAATAATAATAATTTTTTTAAAAAGAAGAAAAAAAAGAGTAAACCCCAAATCCAGAGTTTTCTCTGGAGCAGACATTTCTGCATGGTCTCTGAGGGCTGGAACCAGACATTGCTGCTAAGGCTGTTTCACATCAGACACAATGCAGGGAACTCACACAGCACAAGTCAGGTGTTTAACATGGACATTTGTTTGGAGCCCATCTCCAGAGGAACCTTCTCCCCCCTAAATTGTGTCCCATGTTCAGGGCACAGACATAACAGCAGGAAAGCCCCCAGAGATGCTCCACAGTGCTGAATACATCTAGGCAAAGGCAAACCAGGCCCTTCATTCCCAGTCTCCCACCTGCTTTCTGCAAGGAAGAAGGTGCACAAAAGAAGGCTGCATCCACGAAAGGTGGAAGTAAGAGACCCAGAGAAGTGTCCACAAGATAGTGGGGTTTGCTCAAGTCCTTCACCATGGAGCAAGGCCACAAAGACAGGCACGGCTGCCACAGCCTGGGAAGCCTCTTCTGGAAGAGGAGAATCAGTCCCAGTTAAGCGTCCCCATCTCCCTGTGAGAGAAATGAGCTCTCCAAGAGAGGACAGGCCTGGGCTGCTCCTCCACCTACTGCACAAGCCCGGGACACATTCAAAAGTACACACAATAAATTAAGATTGAAAAAAAAAAAAAAGTCAGCATGTATTATATATGTATATATATATATAATATAATGTGCGTGTGATTGTGAAAAACAGAAATGTCATCCCCAGAAGAGAGCAAGGCATGGCAGAAACACATCCCTGTCCCTCTCCTGAGCCCAGCACTACCCTGCTGCCCTGATTCACAGCAGAAACACACCAGCAGGGCCCAGGCAGTAGGCAAGGGGTTGCACCTGGCACCCAGCTTCCCTCTGCCAGTGGGGGCCCTGTGCCAAGGAGGAGCTGGCTGCTTGGTGGAGGAGTGGGGAAAAAGCCCAGCACTGGTCCCTTCATGGCCTTCTCAAGGAAGGGTTGCTGCAGGCAGGAAAAGGGAGGGAAAGACAGAAAAAGCAAAATGAAATGGCAGAAGCACCCCACTTCTCCTCAACTGGCCGGGGCCCTGCCCCACCTATGGCACAGGACCACCACCACTGTACCAAGTAGAAAATAAAGCCATAATGAGTCTATGCTTTGGTATGTAACTATCCCCCTCCCCTCGGTCCCTGCTGTGTTCCCCCAAACCATTATCTGTAAAACTCATCAAATAAAATCTCTAGCATGCCTTTATATCGCTCGTTGAACCTTTTCCTCCCCAGCACCTGCCTTGTCCTCTTCTCCCCAGCAGGATTTGGGGAGGCACCTTGTCTGAGCCCCACCAGTTACAGCTTCTGCTCTCCCGACTGGATCCTACTGAACACTGCCT